GGCCTGCTGTATTCATCCAGCTCTACACCTTGTTATCTCAAACGCTCCTGATGCCACTTTAAATCTTCCTCATGACACACATTCCTGCATAACTTTGCATCATATGCAAATATTACATTTGGTCCCCACATCCAAATCATAGATCTGAATGTAAAGTTGCCATATTCTTACCAGATCTTAGGGCTGCTGTCTCATTCAAGAGAAGCAACCAGGGCAGGAATTGAACCCACGCTGTTGACGTCACTCTGCATCACAAACTGACCATCCAGCCAACTGAGATAACCAACCCCCTAAAATCATTGATATATGTTGTGAATAGCTGTGACCAAAGTACTTATCCTTATGATACCCCGCTAGTCACCATATACCAATGCAAGAATGGCCCATTTATTTGCACTTTCAGTTTTCTGAATGTTAGTCAATCCTTAGTTTATGCCATTAGCTTCAAGCACATCTATTCCCCTTAATTAACTTTGTTAGCAACATCCTGAAATAACTCCAACAAGTTTATCAAACACAGTTTCCCATTTGCAATTCATGCTAACAATGCCCAAGCAGATCATTATTATCTGAATATCTATTTGTCACATCTTTGTAATAGATTCTAGCATTTTCCTACAGCTGATATAAGGCTAATAGGTCTGTAGTTCCATGTTTTCTTTCTTGTTTCAAAAACTGTAGAGGTCGAGGTTTTGAAGTGTGTTTGGAATAGTTTTCTAGAACAGTATGTTGAGATGACCAGAGGACAGGCTACTTTAGATATTGTATTATGTAATGAAAACAATTAATTAATAATCTTGTAAATTAATCTTTATGGATGGGTGACCTAGGCCAATTCTGGAAGGTTGGCAACACTTCTGGTGAAACTGAAGTCAACTATAGTCTTCCGAATCAGCTAACAGCACAAAGTGGGAATTGACCTTTTGGTCAATTGGTAATTTTATGTGGTTAAGTACTACAAGTTTTAGGAGTGATGTAGGATGAATAAAAAAACTGGGATAAGTTTCGTTTGGCAAGCCTTAAATTATTTGGAAAGAATAGAAAAAGGAAGTAGAGCATTGTTAATGAATGCACATTTATTGATTTAACCTTAGATTTAGAGCAGTGTAAAGGAAAATAGGTTAATAATTAGAAACTGCTTTAGAACACCCGGCGGAAAGAGAGATATCATTCTCAAAATGAGGGACAAATGACAAAATGGAAAGAGAGAAATTATTGTGGAATTATTGAACCAAGAAAGTGTAATATATGGCCAACTTGATGATATTGAAATTGTAGAATGGTTATGAGATTCTTCCAAAATACTGTAGAAGTAGATGCATGGTCTTGGTGTAAGACTGCTGTTTAATTTAAACTAAATAGATCATCAGGGTAGATGTCATAGAAAAAAATCTATTAACCTCCATTCAGAGATAGTAAGAACTGCCGATGCTGGAGTCAAAGATAACACAGTGTGGAGCTGAAGGAACACAGCAGGCCAGGCAGCATCAGAGGAGCAGGAAAGTTGACGGCCCCATTTCTGAAGAAGGGTCCCGACCTGAAGTGTCAACTTTCCTGCTCCTATTAACCTCCATTGTCTAGTTATTCATTAGTAGGGGTTACTTCATGTATCACAACATCCAATATAAACAAGGGATAGCCAGCGAGATGATAAAGTTGTTGCATTGTTGTTAGTTTCTAGCAAAAAATCTTATTTGTCAATCACATCTGAAAGTATCAGAGTGCTTTTATGACTGGGA